GTCAAACTATCAAGAAGCTTTGTAAAACTGACGGAGTTGTTGTTTTGTTGTTTTGTATTTATGAGCATGCTTCTAACGGAAATTGTAAACAGAAATTACAGAATCGCCAGCTAGAAGGAGTTTAAGAAGTCAAAAACAAAAAATGAGTGGCAATCCCATGTTGTTGTTATTGTTGTTTGAGCAGAAATTGATTTTCCTACAAGAGCGAGTCGTTATGTCTGCTAACATTAAACCAAGCGGCTGGCCAAGGACCATAACCCCAAGAGGCAAGAACAATCATTGCAAAGCATTTACATTTAACTATTGCCGCCTCTCCAGCCCCGGAAATATTTCGCCAATAACAACAACAACATCACTTCACTTGTGGCTAGTCACTTCAAAGACAGTCATTGCCAATCTTTACATTCTACTGCAGATTTTTACATTTGGCCTTAAGCCATTTAGCTTTGAATGCTTAGCTGATGATGCTATGAGTGTGTTTGTGTGTCGTTGAATGGCTGCTTCTCCTATCTGTCTGTCCATTGCTTGAATCTGTTGTGCTTAGCGGAAGCTTAAAGAGTGTAAATGATGGTTTAATTAAATCACTTTGATATTTTGCTTATTGGCTTACATGGCGGCTGGCCCTGTGTGAGTGTACAACTCTTCTTGAACACATTCCTTTTAGTCATTACCCAGCCTATCAACCAGCTAGCCAGCCAGGCAGCTTACCAGACAGTTGCCAGCAACATCAATTCCAATATTATCTTCATTATTTTTCGTATTATTATTGGCAGTACCATGACCATCATCATGTTTATAATACATCTGTAATGAGCTGTAATTTGTCTATGCGTAGTATTTGTTAAAAAAAGGACGCATAAAATGTAAATATAAGTAACCGTGAGAAAGTGTAGTCACAAGGGAATGAGGTAAATTTTAATGGGAGCATGGGAGGCAAAAATGATAGGAAAAATATTTAAAACTCATATAATTTCTTTTAAAACAAGTGTCTATAAAATAAGAGTAGTTTATTGGCGCCCAAATTGGGGCTTAATCAAAAGCGCCCAATGATGGACTCAATACAAAACGAAATGTATTTTTATATTTTTTCTAGTAAAAAGATATTGACTTCTTTTACAAAACAATTATATGAAATAAGGAGAAGTGGCATTGGCGCCCAATGTGGGGCTCAACATAAAGCGTTGTGTATTAAAAAATTGTAACTTTTTATATTTCTAAGTAGAATTAATTTTTTATTTGAGTATAGTGTCATTGGCGCCCAATGTGGGGCTCAATGCATACATAATCAAATCGATATCCGAGAAAAATAAAAATACTTAAAATAGGAAAAAATGGGCAACTTCTTGGGATAAATATTGCCGAATGATAACGCAGCATTCAGCTTTGTTATTTTATATCAGAATGCAGCCCAGTATTGACATTCGGAATTCTAATATTTAATTCCTAACAATTTTAACAATTTTTTCATATATTTATAACACAAAAATCATTACCCCATTCTAAACACCCTTTCTTATAAAATTTTGCATTGTTTTTAGGAATAGACCTATTTAACGATATTTTAAATGTTTGTCAATTAATTTTCTCTGTGTTTTCCTCAACACCGTGCTCGTTCAGTCTAGGGAAGAAAAAACCACTACTTCTTGAGGGAGTTAGCTGTCATGGTGGTCCGCCTGAAAAAGATGCCATTTAATTAACCGATGGAAAAAACTAATCATAGGCGCAAAGTCTTAACAGGAGTTTGCTATTGTTAAAACAAACAAATGTTAAATATTTAAGAATAAATCTTGCGAACGATGGTGAAAATAATTACCAAGATTTTGTGATGTAGAAAGGAGAGCCAAAATAGAAATACTCATTCAAAATAGAAATTTTTACGACTTTGTTAGATAATAAAATGAGTACTGAAGAATAGGAATTCGTTATTTTTCTGAAATCATGAAAAAAGGGAGATTTATATTATTTTTTTTTTTAATCGAGGAGATTTATGTTTGTTTACTTAAGTTTTCATATGGTGACAAGAATTTTACTCTGAAAAGTTTTGACATGGGTAGGGTATCGAAATACCGCAGCTGTGTCAGAAATATATTAGAGAGAAAACAAAGGCCCAAAATCTTCAAACCATAGAACAGGGGGTGCCAGTATATAACATGAGTACATCATATTCCAAAAGTGTTTTTACCTTGAACTGTTACAATATTGACAAATAATAGGGTTTATATTATTACTATTATTTTTCTGACAAAAATTGTTTGGGCAAAATATTTACTACCGCCATCTATACTTTAATCTAGATATTTGTGATCTAACTACATTGAAATATTGCGCAATTGTTTATATTTGTTGGTAAATACTACGACACTTAAGAAAATGAGAGTTAATTATAAGTTGATGTATGTTTAGACCGCCATCTATATTTCAATTTAGATATTGGTGATATAACTATATTGGAATGGAAGTACAGATGGCGTCTGATTATTTGCATATGTACTCATAAATATCGTTATAATTTATTCGTTATTTGTCTTTAGCAAATTAGAGAAAGATTTAAGAATAGGAGGCTAAGATTTGGTCCATAAACTTACGTATGTGTAAATTTTGTCAATGGGGCAAATCTCAGGTGGAAACCTACTTGAATTTAAAATTGATGTATTCAAAATGTGTTTCTGAAATTTATAAGTATAAATATGCTAACCGTCCATATGCACTTCAATGCAAATATAGTTAATTTAACAATGTCTAATTTCATGTAGACAGATGGCAATCGTAAAAAATATGACAAATTATAATTGGTTTTCGTTATTATTTTTATTTTTATTATTTTTTTAACGAGGAGTTTTCTTTTTTATTATTGGGACCTTTTTCACGATTTTTATATTCCAATAGGAATCTAGAGGCCTTCTCGGAAAAACCTACCACACCTATAGCACATGACTTCATATAACCAAAATTTCCCTTAATTCAAAAAATAACGAAATAGCTTCGTCTTTTGTGTAAAAATTATAAATCTATACACCAGTATTTGTATTTGTAATTATAAATATATCTATGTTATTTATCCCAAATAATAGTGGAAAGATGTACATAGTTCTAATTAAAATTGTTTTCTAGCTATGGTTTAAAAGCGTGTTAAATAACGTAGAGAATATTGGGACATTTATATTTAAAACAAATTCTAATCGGGCGCCATCTGTATTTCAATATAAATTTATTAATTTACCAATGTCTATATTCATTGCGGTCGTATAACGAAAAACATTCAAAGCCTATCTGTAAATTTTCTGCAAAATATCTTCGCACAATAAAAATGAGTGAATGTCTTCGCAGAAAATCTTGAAAATTCCTCATCGAAGGTCTGCAGATTCTCTCTCTGTTTTTTAGATATTTTCGAAGAGATCTTCTTTTTCTTCGTCTGGACGAGATCAACAGATCTTCTGTGAAGCGATTTACAGATTTTCTCTGCAAAATATATAAAAGTAGGTACTCGTAAATTATCTTATAGAAGATCTGTAAAGATTTGTAGATCTTTAATGAGATGATTTACAGATCCTCGTGTAAAGAGAACTGCAGATATTCAGTGCCAGATTTACATAATTTCTGTGAAGAGGTCTACCGATCTTCTTCGAGGGGATCTAAAAACATCTCCCGTGAAAAAAAAATATGCAGACCTTCTGTAAAAAGAAATGCAGGTCATCCGCGAGGAGCTCTACAGTTCTTTTGTGAAAAGATTTACTAATCTTTTGTGATAACATCTATTGAAATTCTGTAAATATTTCCTATGAGAAGATATACAAAGCTTCTTTGAGTAGATTTACACATCTTTCAGAAGAAGAATAACAGACCAGATATGAGAAGGCAGACCTTCTGCAAAACGAACTACAGATCTACTGCGAAGAGATCTACAGATCTTTGATAAAATCTGTAGATCAAGATTTCCTCTGAGATCTACAACGCTTTACAGAGTGATCTACAAGACTTTCTGAGAAATCTACCGATATATTTTGAGCACAAAACTTCTGTAATCAGATCTGCAAATCTTAATGGATATATTTTTATGAGAATATTCTGCGAGAAAAGATATTTTAATTGTAAGATCTATAGATCTTCCGCTAGAGTATCTGCTAATCTGCAAAAAGAACATATCTGATATGCAAAATATATTGAAATTCACCCACAATTAAGTCACGCTATTAAATGTAAATTACTCATTAATTTGAAATGCTTAACATTTTTTTCCTACGAAGCATCATATAAATCCTTGGATTTAAAAATTGTCCAAGTATTTGGCTTACGTTTACACAGGCTAACAAGGATTTATTGACGGAATTCCCAGGAACGATGATGATGATGATGATTGACATGGGATTTATTTCAACAAATGCAGGCAATTGGCATTAAGCCTTTTTAAGCCAAAGGATTAAATTGTAAAAAGGCAGCAGGTTCCCATGGTTAAACGAAGTTAAATGCCTGGTGGAGTGGGCGAGAATAGTTTCGAGAGTAAAAACTACTATTTGAATAAAAAAATAAATTGCTTAATTTTGTATGGCATCCTTTTTGTAATTTTAATGCCATCAAATTAATCAAAGCAATGAGGCATTTAAATGAGGACATGATGCCGCCTTTCTGTTTCCTTCCTTTCTTCCTGTCTCATGGCTTGGGAGTGTGTGTGTGTGTTTGACTTTAGACGAGAGAAACAACCCCTGTGCCAATTTTTTGTTTACCACCACTTAACTCCTTTTGATGCCTTGCCTCCGTTTCCATTTCGGGTTAGACAACAACTATTTATTGTTTACTTCCTTTGGGCCATGGCTTTTCTATTATTTTTCTTAAGAACTTCAACAAACATTGTTGCCTATTTAAACTATAAATGGTTTTTAGCAATCTGTTCTCTATGCCGAGGTAATTTATCCATGACTGCAGTTGCTGGCCGGCAGACATTTAGAACACGTGTTGGAAGACACGGACAGAGAATGAGGAACTATTCAATAACTGGTACTTACTTTTACATTCATTGGCATCACGTGCCGTGGCACGACCCCAGGGACGATCATAATAGAATTGTTTGCAGCGTTCACAATCACGACCCTCGGTATTGTGTTTACATTCACAGGTCAGTTGGCCCTTGTTATCGGTTATGCACTTGGAGGCATGACCATTGCATTTACAGCGTCCACCAACGGCAAAATCGGAGACGGCATAATGCAGACCGGATGAAGAGGCCAGCGCCGCTGAAGACCCACCAATTATGGAGTTTGTCTGATCCAAGCCCAACGAACTGGGTTCACTATATTTTCCCGCCTTGGCATCGGATGAAGATTTTTCCACCGGATTATTAAGGGTTATCAATCCGTTGCTACCATCAGGCATCTGTAGACGATGGAAAATAACTTTAATATCTGTGGCCGTTACCCAATCTTGCAAGACGGGCGAGGAGTCCAAATCTCTTGCCGATGGCCTGCCATCCAGGGTGCTAAAGGCAATTCGTGAGCCTTGCAGCCCGTTCATAACATCACTGGTATGGCGATGTGAATCTGTGCATCTTGCCTCCTGTTCATTGTGTTTGGTTATGGTGGCCCTATTCAAGCGTCCATACACCCTTCGGCACTGTGAGCTATAGAATTGAAACGGTTGCCAGGTTTTGCCATAATCCGAACTCTTATATATGGCAATGGAATCGGGTTTCGGAGCCTTGGGGCAGAATTGCAAACTAACATAAGTCAACTCGTATTTCTTGCCCAGCGACAGGGTTAGCGTAACATTATCCGGTGGAGCATTTGGATTATTTACCGGCGCAATAGGTTCCGAGCGCCAGCACGTCACATTGTTGGTATTATTCAAATCGGTCAATGCCGTGGCGGAAAATCTTCTCTGCGGATTGGAATTGTCACAAATATTACAGGTGACATCCTGGTCACCATTGCCGTTCTTTTCACAATAACGTTGTGGATTTTCCATGCCACAAGTGCTCGAGGCTTCGACTGGAGCACCATATGCTGCATTCACAAAATCCGGTATACATTTGCGGGCCTTGTCTTCGTCGTAGCAAGGATCTGTTGGCGCCTGAGCAGAAAACATTTTCAAATATATATCATTGGGTATGGCTGAATTTTCATGGCAGAAAATCACCAGCCATAGGGCTGTTGTCAGCAGGCTTGAGAGTCTTTGCATTGTGATAAATATTTTATTTGGAATTTTGATGGGGGAGTTCGTTTTTCGCTTTAGGTTTGAGTTGGTTTGATTCTCGATTGATCTTTCGTCTTATTTAATAAGGGATTATTTTAAAAATTTGCCACTTAATATTACAACTTCACTTCACTTTTTGTCATTATTTTATGTTGTTATCTGTAAACGGACAAAGAAATATATATATTTTTCTTCGAAATATTGTGTCGGTTACAATGTTAATTTTCCAAAATTTTAACATTAAAAACACAGAATCATTGTTTAATTTAAATATTTCAACTTATAGTGTTTTTTTAATGAACCAGAAGTGCAGCTAAGTCCGGTCACTCTATCTGTTATGTTTCATCCGAAAAGGTTGAATTTTGAAAAATCGTAAAATAATTTAAAAGTTTCCATTTTGCTCAAAACTTATCTCATGATTAAGCTTCTATTGTCTTCAAGTCAATTTAAAATGTGGATCTTTCTCGCCGGCACTTCTTCCAAATAAAAAGGTGATTTAAATAGGTAATACATTAATGTGTATCAACCAAGTAATCTGCTGAAGAGCTCGGATCAAAATTGTATTTCCATATAGAAAAGCCTCTGTTCCCTAGTCAGGGACTATGACACAAATGTTGGGCACAAAAACACATTAAAAAGTGACAGGCACTGTGTTTGCTATCAATGTACCTATCAATGGACGATAGCACAGCATAAAAGGAGAAAAGAAAAAAAATGGTTTATTATCTACTTTAAGAATTGGGAAAGGCGATTTCGTTGGCCGAGCCAAACTTTTAATACCCTCCACTTTAGGGTAAAAGAAACATTAGAAGAAATGTGTTTTAGCAAAAACCATTAAAATGCCGAATATCGGGAGGTACCGTTATATGGGGGCTACACCAAAACGTGGACCTACATGCAATGTTTCGCCACCGGAGCTGAAAACCATTATGACCCACAAATACCAATTTTTAGACAAATCCGTGAAAAAATGTGGCAAAAAAAACTAAAATACCGAATATCGGGAGGTACCTTTATATGGGGGCTATACCACAACGTGGACCTATACATGCAAAGTTTTGCCACACGCTCAGGGACCCGTTATGACCTACAAATACCAATTTCCAGACAAATCCGTGAAAAAATGTGGCATAAATCATCAAAATACCGAATATCGGGAGATACCGTTATATGGGGACTACACCAGAACGTGGACCGATATATCTCATTTTCAATACCAACCATCCTAGATACAATGCAAATAGCTCTGCTAAATTTTGAGGCTCTACGTCAAATAATGTGGGCTGTATCGTGATTTCAACAGACAGACAGACAGACAGACGGACATCGTTAAATCAACTTAGAATTTTATGCTGATTATGAATATATATACTTTATGGGGTCTAAGACGAATATTTAAGGATGTTACAAACGGAATGACAAAGTTAATATACCCTCCTTTCCAAGGTGGAGGGTATAAAAATGACGCCCAATTTAGTACCACAACGTAGTAATTTATAACCGAACGAATACCATGTCAGAAAAATATTAAATGTTGTTTCATCTTCCACATACGTGGTTATTCCTAGTTTAAAGGCCTCAGTAATATTCTCCAAACCAATTTGACTTTATTTAAGTTACCTCTCATAAAGATTGCTAAAATAAATTAAGTCCAACTGAACTTAATGCTCCTTTTATTGGTTTTATCATAAAAATGCACATCAATTCTTAAGTTGAGCTATTTTAAGTTAGGGATAGGTTCACAATTTTGCAAAATGTTGAACCTTTAATTGGTTTAAAACAAATAGATCTGTCACTTTGTTAAATCAAAAGAGTTAAATTTGATGGCCTAATATGGGATTTGGTATTTTTCAACATTTTTGACGTTTGTTTGCACATGATCTAGGGAAAAAAATTGAAGATGAATGATGAAAAAATATATAAAATTTGAAAATATCTGCAAAAATTTCATTTTCGGTTTTATCTTTTTTTGTAATCGTCCATTCGAAAAATGTTTGGTCCACATTTATATTCGAATTTATATATAACCAACATTTCCCGACAATCTGGATTTGATGTAATTTTCCGTATTCTGGGACACATTTATTCTCCAAAGGTGTGGTAAGGCCTAATGAGTCAATAAACTTTAGTTCGAACAATATTTGTATTTGGAATCATGTCAAACGTCCAACATATCAAATATTTGAATTCTCAACAAATATGTGTCAGAAAACAATTTTAACCTCTCAAACCTTTTATGCTTTGGTATATAGTACAATTGAGTTTGACTGATTTCGATTCTGATATGTTTTGACGATTTATATATGATTTTGTATTTTTAATGTTAAAATTTAATTACACAAAAAGGAAGTTTTATATTTATTAATATTCATAACATTCACACAAAATTTCAAATTATTATTTGGAAATTCAAACAACTTGCTTTGTTGAATTTAATATTATTTTATCTCAACAATTCATTGGATGAGATTTGAAGTTAATATTTTATATTAAAAATATTATGTATTTCTTATTATTTCTGAGCACGTTTAACACCGATGATCGAGATTGATCAAATAAATTTGAATCGAAACTGTAATAATTGCAACCAATATTCTAGATAAAAAGAACGTAACGTAAATTTTATTAGATTTGCACAATAACTCTTAGTTTAATTTTGAAAATAAAATAGTACGTATTTGTTTTACATTAATTCCTGAATTTTATTGATGTTTTTTAATCAAGTAATTTCTAAAAACTTCTCCCAATATCACTCAGATTTTGAAACCATACTATTAAATATCATAGGTTTTATATAGTTATTTTTTGTTTATTTATAAGTTTTTAGCTGGAGAATTTTTAAAAGCTGATTTCAGAATTTATAATTTTTATTTTTATGGCGGTTTTCAACACTGATTATATATATTTACTTTTAAATTTTTTATTTAATATATTTCTTCAATTTTCTTTAACTGTTTAAATTTTTTATTTTGTTTCAATATTTTTTATTTATTTTTGTTTTAACAGCAAACAATTTTTTTCGCATTTTTCAATCATAGCTGTTTTTTAATTTTTATTTTAAGTTTTTCAATTTTTTGTTTAAGTTTTATTTTATTTTAGTATTTTTTTTAAATTTTAATTTATTCCATAGAAATACAATTTTAAAATTTTTTTTATCACAAATCACCTTTTTTGTATTATTGTTTAAATTTCAATAAGTTTTATGATTTTAATAGCAATAGAAAATTGTAGAATTCGTTTTATTTTCGTATAGGTATCCCAAATTATTTTCCTTTCAATTTCATTATTTTTATTTCCAAAAATTTTATTAATTCCAATAATTTATTTCGTAAGTGTTTTAATTATTTTCGGTTCGTTGCGTAGAACGCGCGCGCAATTTCTTTGAGTTTTGCAACACACACACGAACCGCAAACAACAAAATCCAGCCGCTATATCGTAGATGCGCGTAATCGTTCGAACGCGCTCAAAAATATACTCTCGTTTAACCGTTATTCAGTGTTTTTGGTCAATAGTTCTGTTCGTTAGCCGCTCTAATTGCATCCGACGTATGTAAACGTCAAGTTCAGCTGCCTGTTCACAGTCAACTAAAAACACACACCGAACGAATATCTTGGCCGCGGCGCTATGGCAGCAAACATGATGCGAGATGCGATGAAACAGGCGCGCACACGTTTGAATGTTTGAATTTCAGAGATTCAGACGGCCATGGCAATAAGAACAGCGGCAGCAAAAACCAACCAAACCGAAATAATCGCGATGATGAGATGAGGGCTACGAACAACAGCAACACTTGGTATCTCTCCACAAGGTAGAACAACAATGTTCGTTGAATGTGTGCCCATACACATCGGCCGGCTATTATTTGTTGGTTGGTTGGTCGGAATATGTGCGAGAGAACAACAAGCAAGTGATGAACAGCATGAAAAACACCCATCAAGCGGATAAAAAAGGGAGGCTGGATGGCAGACTGACTGCTTGGTGTGTCTAATGCTGTTGCGATGTTTTTGGCGCATTCACGCAACAATGACTGCCGTCTGAGTAACGAAAACGGTTGGGTATCCATCCCTCTTGTAATGGCAGCTTCAAACATAACACAACATTACTTCATACCAATTTGGTGTGACACACACATGTTGCTTTTGCTTCATACCTCTTACAGAGGGTGTGAGAATTTGTTCATCTACCTGATGCTAAACCATCAATGTTATATTTTCAACACACTCACCACACAAGGTTTGTGGCTTTGCTACACTATGTTAATCAACATTTTGTGCTCTCCCTGGATGTTTAATCTCTTGTTTTCTAATTTCTCTTAAATAATTGAATTCACCTCTAACAACGCAGGGAGAAATGCGCACCACCAATTCAATTTAATTGTTGGTTGTGTCTGCTGCTCTTTGCGGGAAATTCCAATTTCCCTCATTTAGACAGGTGTTTCAGTTGCTAGTCCGCTTTATGCGTTGGCATTACATTATTCACTCCCCTAAAAGACACACTTAGTAGGGCTAATAAACGAACGATACATTTAAAGGTTTTTATTAAGGCAAAAATGATTGCAAATTATTGTGTTGTTGGAAAATTTAGTTGATTTATAGAGTCAGTGGTTTCGGAGTGGATAGTTTTTCCTACATACAAGCATCTAAAATATAAACTATTGAATACTAGCTGAACCTCTAACTCCAACGGAAATTTAATATGATTGTGTTTTGTTTGATTTTATTCAGCTTATCATCGAATATAAATAAAATTTAATACCCTTTACCACTAGAAAAGTACAACATCGGAAAATAGGTTAGGAATGGAAAAAATACAAATTATAAAAGTTGCTAAAATTGTATTTCATTCTGTGAAAAGGTGCTATGATTTTATTTTATTTAGAAAATAAAAACCAAGATTTTCATTCAATAACTCCATTGGGTACATATGTATGTATATTTATAACTTTTAGACCCTAGGCCTCCGTTTAAGGACAAATCCGTTTCAGGACATTTGGAGTCGATCTAGGTGTGTCCATCCGTTTGGCTGTTGCGCACGATAAATCTCGAAAGGAGTATCCAATTTTATCCAAACTTTGTGCATCGTATTTTTTATCAAACTTAGAACGAGTTCAGAGTAGGGAAATATCGGTCCACTCCTTCGGGCATCACCCCCACAAAGGGTCACATTTTTCATAGAAAATAATTGATCTCATAGAACAAGAAAGGATCAATCAATTTTGTTAAACTTTTGCAAATCCCAATATTTGTGTCAGTGTTAGGTAAAGTGCGAATATGGACAACATAGGCCCATTCCATAAAGTACCTTCACCACAAAGGGTAAAAATTTGGAATAATTATAACTATTATAAAATAATAATATAAAATGAGAAATTAACATCAAATTCTCCTCAAATTGCACACATCCCATTATTTTCGACAAAACAAAATCTGATGTGAAGACGGGATATATCCGTCAGCTCCTTCTGGTATCTTCTGCACAAAGGGGTAAAATTTTGACTAACAAAACAATCATAAAATGCGAAATGAGCATCCGATTATTTTCAAACTTGGTACATCCCAATCCCTATCAACATAAGACTAAGTGTGAAGATTGGATACATCGAGGTACTCTTTCATTTACCTCCCCCACAAAGGATCAAAATTTTAAATACACAAAATGAAAAATAAAATGAGAAAAAACCAATTCAAACAAAATCTAATTTACTGATACTTTTACTAATGAATGATACAAATCAACCCAACCAGTGTGTAGTACCTCCCCCATAAGGGGTCATAATTTTCAATGATTATATTTCTCATAACTTGCGAAATAAGTCAGAGATTCTTGAAGCATCTAAATACCTTTGGTTCTCTCTGGTTGAGATTTGATTTGAATATGGCATATATCGGCCACTCTTTGGAAATAAATTTTCGATTTTCTTCAATTTTTCGTTACTATTAGGAGAAGTGGAATATATCGTACCACTACAGGGTGAGATGAAAAAACTGCAATCAACTTTAGACTGCTGTCATTTTTCAGCCACTTGTCCGACATCTGTTAAACTTATTCCAATGACAGGTCAATATATTGTTTACAAGCAATTGGTGAGAATTTTCCTGAAAAAAAGTTATTCGTGATAGAATTCAAGTGTGATAGTGTGATTTCTTTATATTGGGCTGGAAAACCACAAGTGGCTATCGTTAGAACACTTTAGCATTTAAATGTGAATAAATCTTTTGTGTCTCGTACTATCGTTCGTTACCGTGATACTGGTAGCCCGACGTCAAGGATTTAGACGGAAGAAAACAGCAGCATCAGAAGAAATGCTGCGAAAAGTAAAGAAACGACTTAATCGAAACCCGGGTCGCAGTGGTCGAAAAATGGCTAGTGATCTGAACATATCGCAATATTCCATTCGGCAAATATTAAAAAATAAGCTCGGGGTAAGGCCATTGAAATTCCATAAAGGGCAAGAACTTACACCGCAACAGAAAGAAAATGGACTCAAAAGGGCTACAGAGTTGCTACGCTTGGCCGAAAGTGGTGATCTGCCGAATTTGGTTTTCTCCGATGAGAAAACATTCATTGTTCAGCAGTTTGGAAACAAGCAAAGTGATTGTGTTTACTTGCCAAAGTGGTCAGCTGAAAATGTGCACCTTCAGTTGGCCAACAGAACTCAAGCGCCGGCTATGGTGATGGTGTGGGCCGCCATAACAGCCGATGGTCGCTCTCCGCTCGTATTAATCGACTGTGGTATGTGAATAAATGCCGAATATTATCGCGAAAATATTCTGGAGGGTGTATTAAAGACTTGGGCATACAAACATTTTGAACGCAGACCTTGAACATTCTAACAGGACTCAGCTCAATCGTACTCAGCATACGCCACTCAAGAATGGTTACAAAATGAGGTTCCTCTCTTCATTTCCAGCGCACAATAACCACCAAAATCTCCGGAAACCAATCCGTTGGACCGTTGTGTTTGGAGTATTTTGGAAAGCAAGGTTGGCACTAAAAAATACAAAAGTGTCGATCAGCTCAAGCAAGCGCTTCGCCGGGAAAGGGCCAAAATACCGCAGAAGAAAATTCGGGCAGCGTTTGACGGTTTCAATTTCTTTAATTGAATAAAATTTAAAACAGAAATGTAAAAATTATGGCGTTTGACTTTGTTGCAGTTTTTTTTATCTCACCCTGTATATCTGGAACCTCACGCACATTTCAAAAATTTCCAAAAACTATCATTTATGTTCTTCTTTTTCTATATCTATAAAAGAGGACAATGTTTGTACGTTTGATTGTTTGTAATTAGTAGACTCGAAAAGCGCTGAATATTGCCAGAAAGTAGTATAGGCTACATAATTTTTTAAAATTCTACTTAGACATAGCATCAGAATCGGAGGTACCTCCAAAATTTTAGGTTTTATATGCATATATCTATTGATCGACTACATATACAGTCAAATTTGGAAAGTGTAATGAAATTTGGAACAAAAATAAATATGCCAAATTATATTGAATTCGATTACGATTTGGATATAGCTCCCATACACATTTTCGGCAGGTTTCATGTATTTAATGCATCACGCATGCTGCTGCAATACAATTTGGGATGTGCCATGGAATTTGTCCTAAAGGAAAAAATATTCTACATCCTAAAGCATTACAACAAATACGTTCTTTAAATTCTTGAATTTGCTTTATTTTTATTTAAAATCAAAAGCATATTTGTATATAAAATTTTGAATGAAGCTAGTCTAATATAAAGCGAAGGAAGTAGTCGATATAGCCCGAGTCTGGCACGTTGTCAAATTTTTATCTGACTTAGGTCAGATACGAAATGGAAAATGTTGATCCAATCCTTTAGTGCCAACCCAATAAAGGGTCATCATTTTAATAATAATAACACAAGTCATAATTTATTTTAATAAACTGATAGTGGCGGAGTGTATACATAAATCGGCAAAACCGACTGAACTTTTCAACTTGTATACTTCATTTAATAAATATGTTAAGATAAATATTAATTGGGCTAAATCAGACACTGGTAGATCGGCTCCAAATGACATGGCGTCTTAAAGTTTTAGATATAAAGTGTGAAAAACGTTATATTAAAAAAGTAGATTTCAAGTTATAAGTATTGTGTTATTGTACATTTCGCTCTTTAGCAAACACATGCCCTCCTTTTGATTGAGAAACTGCTCCATACATAATTATATCTCTAAGTGGCTATGAAAATATAAATGCCCAATTGCAATATCGTGGTACGGTAATTAACTCCTACAGATTCGTTGCATATAAATGAAAAATTACATTCTAAATTTTATTTCGATAAAGGAAAATAAATTACAGTTTTCATTCCTTTAAATTCATAGCAATTAAAGAAATACAACAACAAATGTTCACTTTTCTTTTTGTACCGAAACAAAAATTAAAAAAAAAAAAAAAAACAATTCAAACCAAAATATTAGCTGAAATAAATTTTCACCCACATAAATCAGTCTGTCGTAAATTTCAATTTCATTTCAAAAAGAAAGAGAAAAAAATATTTGTTGCCTCCATAAACATCCAACAATCCTTCCTTGGCAAATAAGTAACACCAACAGTGAAACACCAACAGCAGTGAAATGTGTTAAAATCGAATTAACACAAACTTAGCTGCTGACCTTTGCACAGCGTACTCGAGGCACACAAACTCAAACACACGTAAATACACTCAACCCAATGCACTGTCTGCTAAGCCATTTAGCTGCTTGACCACCACCACCACCTCCTACATCAACAGAACCGCCAAATTCTTATT